ATGTTGGCCAAGCTAGTCTCAAACTCCTGGAACTCCTGGTCTCAAGTGACCCACCCACCTTGGCCTCCCAAAGTGCTGGGATTGCAGAGCCACCACGCCCACTGCTTGCGAATTCTTATGCATAACTTGGCACACTGTTACATTTTTTCCGAAGAAAAGGTCTATAGCTTAGGGGGAGAAGAAAATGCAATGGTTTAGAGCAGTGTCACAGCCTCTAAGCAGGTAAGCAGGGTATCAGAGTGGGAGGTCTGTCCATTTTAGAGCGTCTAGACCATGTAAGAAAGGACTCCTCACAAGACGGTGGTTGTCACGGGGATTCAGATATTCAGTGAAGTGAGGAAGGTGTTGGGGATAGGAGGAGGAATCACATAAGGAGTCAGCTTCTGAGCAGAGTAAAGAAGGCAGGGCAATCCATGCATCGGTAGCCTGGCGTGGGACTTTGGAGCCCAAGTGGGATGGTACGTAGAGTCAGAGACTGAGCAAGGTGAGGAGGGCATCTAAACAGGAAAAGGCTTCATAGCAGAAATAAATTAGTGACATAAAAGGAAATTAACCAAATAAGTAAATGTATTAATAATAATATGAACAAGTGTTTTCACTGTCAAAGAAGGGAATTACAAATATAAAAGGGGAGAAAAGTTGAATAAACTCTGTTGAAATGAACTGGAGTTGGAGCTATCAGTGTGAACTCATGGTTTTCAATATAAATAAATATAGAAGTACAGATATAAATGCTTTTATCTGTGTGTTATTTGTGTATTCAAATACATGCTCAGTCAGCTCAAAGGCCTTCAAGTAGTAATATCCCAAGAACAATGAGCACACTCTGGGTGTTCTTGGCATCTAAATACCATTCTTCTCTTTGAGGATCTAGGGCTCCTTTGAGAAATGACTGAATCCAGAGATGTGACAGGGAAGGTACAAAATGAGCTTGGAACATTACATTATACCAAAGAGTGAGGAATGCACGAATAATTGATGGAAACATTGCAAAAGGGCACAAGCTACCTTGAATGGGATTCCACTGATCAAACTGGAGATAAACTAAACATTAAATAATGACAGTAACTTGTAATAACCCACTGAATAAAATAGGAGACCATAAGTATACACAGATATAGATACATGATTAAACTGAACATATGTTAAAAGAGAATACTTACAACGTTCCCCTATAAAATACTTAGGAAGGGTTCTTTCCTGAGACTTTAAAGTTTGCTAGCTCTATAATACAACTAAGAATTAGGAATAAAGATTGAGGTTTGATGCAGTCATGAAGATAAGCATACTTCATGACTGCATCAATAATCAGATTCCAATGCACTAAACATATTGTTTTTGAAATAATTTATTTCTGCCTAAAATACACAGTTCATGACTAAGAATTCAGAATACTTACAAAATGGGGGTGGGAGGTTGCTGTTGTTAGCATGATAATTGAATCTCTACTATGTACTCATTTATGTAATCCCTTTATCTTGCTTAGTCTTCTTGAGAAATAAAATCTAAATAATCTGTAAGAGCAAATGATAAAGTATAAGTTTGACTAAAAAACATATGAGGCAGAATAGCCCTGTGCACGTGTGCGCGAAAACACACACACACACACACACACACACACACAACTCAAAAGCACAGGTGACAAAAGTTTTGTAAAAGAAAACAACACAAAACCAACAATTAAGGTAGAACGTGTAGGCAAAAAAAAAAAAAAAAAAAAAAGCTAGGACACCAACCCTCTCCATTTTACATGTTAATACAATCAGGACACAGAGGTAAGAGTAGTCTCACTGTGGATAGCCCTGGCTTGCCTCCCTCTCCATATTACATGTTAATACAATCAGGGCACAGAGGTAAGAGTAGTCTCACTGTGGACAGCCCTGGCTTCCCTCTCTAGCTGGGACCTCTCTCCTGAGAGGCCTCCATCACTACCCAGATGCTCCTGGTGAATCTCACTCTCAGTGTCCAACCAAATTCTGTTTCCCTTCCCTCTCAAACCTGCCTCCTCTCCTGTGTATGCTTGTCCTTTCTTTTCCAAGGGGTGGCAGATCACCCCAAAGGAAATACTGGGCAAAGATGAAATCAGAAAAAAAACAAAAAAGAATAAATTTTTAAGGGTTTTTTAAGTGTAAAAAGAAAAAAACTGCATGCCTGCTTGCAAACATACAGGATACTAGAGAACTGCTGCTGCTTTCAGCAAGCCCATTGCTGGTCAGGGTGAGAGCTTGTAAGCTTGCTGACAAACTTGCTTGCTTTCCTCCTCTGATCCACTACCTGCATCTTCTTAATGACTGGGAACAAAGGGGAGCCAATCCTTTCACCAGTCAGCTTTTGAATTAAATTTTATGGGTGACCACAACCTACTTTGTACTCAAGCCACTATCACTATTCCTTAAAGCCACTATAAAGAGGAGATTCCCACTACATTATCTTACAAATTTATGTTTACTCCCCTTACCAGAAACCTCTACCTGAGCCTGTCCTTCTCACACCAAGTAATGGTTTATGTTTCTTCCCTCAGAGCCTAAACTTTTATTTGTTCCTATTAAATATCCTGTTTAAGAAGCTTCTAAATTTCAACTTGCCCTGATTTCTTTGAATTATGCAATGCAAATTAGTCTACTCAATCAGGATTGATCTTGAAATCTGATAAGCATCTCAATTGATTAAGTTAAATTATGCTTTGGTGGGGGCATACCCTACATACTTCAAATACCTCCAGGCACACAATGAACTAATAACTGTACCCAGTTCTTTTGTGAAAAATAATATCTACTACACATTAAGTGCTTACCAAAAGGCAGGCATTGCTTTAATGTATTATATGCATTCCTTATTAATCTTTAGAACAATTCTAAGGGGTAGGCAGAATTGTCATGCTCAAGATCAGATTGGATTCAAATGCATCAAGTCTGTTTAACTCCACAGGCTATATGTCTTGATCATTATACCAGAGGGCCAGATCATGGTCACTAGGTAGCTGTGATTTCACAGGTAAAGTAATTATAACAGCAGTTATTTTTTTATTTAACCATGGCTTTAACAAGCTAATCAATACGATGTAAAATAAATTTCAAGGGACGGGCGCGGTGGCTCACGCCTGTAATCCCAGCACTTTGGGAGGCCGAGGTGGGTGGATCACAAGGTCAAGAGATTGAGACCATCCAGGTCAACATGGTGAAACCCCGTCTCTACTAAAAATACAAAAAATTAGCTGGGCATGGTGGCGCGTGCCTGTAATCCCAGCTACTCAGGAGGCTGAGGAAGGAGAATTGCCTGAACCCAGGAGGCGGAGGTTGCGGTGAGCCGAGACTGCACCATTGCACTCCAGCCTGGGTAACAAGAGCAAAACTCCGTCTCAAAATAAATAAATAAATAAATAAATTTCAAAAGACAGATTACTCAAACTAGTAAACCATACACATATCATTCAAAATGGGTATAAGGTATGATTTTACAGAAACTTATGAGCCTAGCCCATGTCATGAGTGACAAGTTCGTTGTCACTCATGAATTAAAACTGCCCCTCTCCTCAGGAGACATCACATTTCTCCTATCTACCCCATCTTCTTTCCCACCACCACTAACTGGTCTTCTTGCATTCAACTATTATATTTTTTCTTAAAACAGATTTGAATATGTCATGATACTTACAAAAAGCCTTCATGGTAGCCCACTGTCAAAAGTATAAAAGCCAAACTCCTGACCAAAACAATCACAACTGATACATGTTATGCTGTAGATATCAATTGTCTCCATTTTACAGATAAGGAAATTGAAGCTGAAAGACTAAATTTTAATATACCTTCATCTCTCAGTATCCTTGCCAACACCACAGCCTCTATTTCAAAACTTCTTGCCACTACCAATCTCGTTCTCCACCTTAATGCTGCCAATTCCCAACTTTCATTGTTTAAGATGATTTTCTTTTCTACTGAAACATGCATCACTGTTACTACCAGTGGCTCAGTGGAGCAAGAAATAGAGGTGGAGCTGTAAAAACGTATATATAGGCAAAGTACAGTGCCCAACACCTGTAATCCCAGAACTTTGCGAGGCCAAGACAGGCAGATCCTTGAGCTCAGGAGTTTGAGACCAGCTTGGGCAACATGGCAAAACCCCGTTCTCTACAAAAAAATAAAAAATACAAAAATTACCTGGGCATAGTGGCATGTGCCTATAGTCCCAGCTACTCAGAAGGCTGAGGTGGGAGTATGGCTTCAGTCTGGGAGGCAGAGGTTGCAGCATGCTGAGATCATGCCACTGCACTCCAGCCTCAGCAAAAGAGCTAGACCCTCTCTCAAATAAAAAAAAAAAATTGAATACACACATATCCACATATTTACTTGGGTGTACACGCCTAAACCCACTGAGTTACAGGTCCACCATTCTTAAGCTACCCAATTATATCTATGAATTACAAAAAATTACTGACATCATGACATTCATTTCAATTTTCATCCATTTCAGGGTTCAACTTCCCAACAATTTTTGTCAAACAAATTTTAGATATTTGACTATAAATTCAACAAACTTTTTCTTTAAATCTCTCTAAAACAGGTAATTTAAATGAACACTGTTGAAGGTCATTATTATCCAAGGCAAATTAACATAGGGACAGAAAACCAAATATTGTGTGTTCTCACTTGTAAGTGGGAGCTAAAAATTGCGTACTTATGGACATAAACATGAAAACAGAAGACACTAGGAACTACTAGAGGGGGTAGGGAGGGAGGGGGACAAGTGTTGAAAAACCACTGGATACTATGCCAGGGACATGGGTAACAGGATCATGAGTAACCCAAACGTCAGCATCATGCAATATACCCATGTGGCAAATCTGTACCTGTGCTCCATGAATCTAGAAGCTGAAATTTTAAAAATAAATACACATATAAATGAACTCATAGGTACTCTAATTATTCTCTTCTAAGGGTTAGGGTCTTAGACAATGGCAAATGACAATGAAGGTGTCTGTTTGTTTGTTTGTTTTGAGACAGTTTCACTCTTGCTGCCCAGGCTGGAGTGCAATAGCGTGATCTCGGCTCACCACAACCTCCACCTCCTGGGTTCAAGCGACTCCCCTGCCTCAGCCTCCAAACTTCCGACCTCAAGTGATCCGCCAGCCTCAGCCTCCCAAAGTGCTGGGATTACAGGCGTAAGCCACTGCGCCTAGGCGCAAGTTTCGGTTTTTTGTTTTTTAAATGTAAACAATAAAATAGAAGACAGTATTTTTAACAGTGTCAAGTAGCCACTTATAAGTCTGGCACTGGAGCAAGAGCTCCTTAAACTAATTGCCTAGGGGAAAATGGAGGTAGAGAAAACTCAACCTTCTTGGGAGGGTGGCAACAGCAGCTGAAACAAAATATGAAAATCCATCTCCTAAAGCAAGTTTGTTCAACCTGCAGCCCGGGATGGCTTTGAATGCAGCCGAACACAAATTCATAAACTTACTTAAGACATTATGAGATATTTTTTTTTTCTATTTGTTTTTAAGCTCATCAGCTATCACTAGTGTTAGGGTATTTATGTGTGTCCCAAGACAATTCTTCTTCTTCCAATGTGGCCTGGGAAAGCCAAAAGATTGAACACCTCGGTCCTAAAGTCTTCAAGTTATTAAGGAAAAATCCTCTCTACTTTTCACCTACTACTAAGCAAAAAAAGGCAAAGATCAAATGCAAGTACAGCTTACTGTTCCTGTTTCTAGTAAGTCAAGCAACATAAAGAAAAGAAAAAGATTTATATAGTGTGATGGGAGGCCAGAAGACATCCGTAAGTAAAACTGGCAACTGCTATGGAAGTTAAATTTAGCACGGTTGGGGTTCACGGAGTCCATCTGTAATGCAAAAGTTAGGGTAAACATAATAAATTGATGCTTTTAAACACCTTTTTTGAGAAATGGGAAGGAATTTTTCTATCACTGCTAATTTACTTACAAATTATATGCTTTCCCAAGTCACTCCACCCTTGTAAATACAGAGTATACTCAAAACATTCAACTATCTTTAATCATAAAGTAAGACTTCTGTTCTAAATTTATATTGTTAAATTACTTTATTCTAATCAGTTCTCCAAAGCCAGAAAGAAAAATTACTTTCTAAATACTGTGTTAAATTTAGGAAAGAATATATTCCTTAATTTCAAATTTGAAACAAAAGAAACTGATGCAGTAATTTTTTGTGGGGGTGGGGAGTTCACATCATCATTCAAACAGTTAATATTGTTTTACTACCTACAGGATCAAATTTAGCTACTTTGGCTTTGTATGCAATTCACAATCTCCGTTTGATTCATTCAACAAATATTTTATTGGGAATGTATTCTATTCCACTATTCTAACAATAAATATTGGGGATAAAATAAATAAACCTCAGCCCCTGAGCTCAGTGAGCATCCAGTCTAGCAGAAGTTAATAATAATTGATAAGATATAGTCTGATAGTCCCCATAATATTAATTACTAGGGAGTTTTTCATATATCTCCAGAAATTCTTTGATACTCCTCCCACCAAGAGACAGAATTTAATTCTCTTCCTCTTAAGCATGGGCTAGACTTAGTGACTCAATTCTAATGAATAGAGTAGGGGAAAAAATTAAAAGTAACTTTTCAGTGAAAAAACATGGCAGTCACCACCTAAACTAAGTAACCAAGGTTAACATCATCATTATTAAGACATGTTGAGATGATGCAATGAAAGGGGCAATTCACTTGTATTCTTCCTCAAATCACGGGGATTATTCTTCCCCATAATCATCAGAAAACATCAGACAAACTCAAATTCGTAGATAATGTATAAAACAGCTGACAAGCACTCTTTAAAAGTGTCATGGTCAGAAAAACTAGGAAAAGCAACAGACTGGAACAGACTAGAGAGATACAATGAAATCCAACATGGCATCATGGATTGGATCCTAGATCAACAGAAAAAGAACATGACTAAGAAAACTGGAGAAATCTGAAAAATTCTGCATTTTAGTTAATGGTACTGTACCAGTTCTAATTTCTTACTTTTGACAAATATACCATGGTTACATGTTAATGGTCTTTGCAAGTTCTGTAAATCTAAAGAATTTTAAATAAAAGATTTAAATACTTACAATCTGTTAAGAATCATCAAGAGATAAGCATATGATCTATGAGACATCCAGCCAGGGTTGGCATCAGGAGTTGTGTGAGATCTGGGAATAATGTCGAAACTTAGTCTGAAATATGGGAAGGAATTGATCAGCTGGAATGGGGAAGGGAGTAGAGAACAGAATAATCCACTATCTAGGATAAAGTCACATTTTTTGTTTGCGTGGTTAACAAGTGGTTCAGTATGACTGGCACAATGGGAGAAGAAATGGAAGCAGTGTCAAGAAATAAACTCGGAGAGAAAAACAGGAATTACCTGCACTCAAGATCAAGCCTCAAACCCCACAAGGATCATAACAACCAAGTGCAGAAGTGACTACCTCTCCTGAAATCATTTCCTAACCAGTCATTTGGCCATAACCATGTACTGCCTTGTGCTAAGTTTGTCTTATTGTTTTAATTTTCCCAATTTACATCTGACTCCACAGAGTCAGATGTAACCAAGTTTCACATACCCCCTACTTCATATCATAGCTTGGACATGTCTAGCATAGTAGGGACTCAATGGATAATATAATATAATATAAACTAGTCATCAGAATAAATCTGAAGAATATGGTATCAACGAGAAACTGATTTTAATCATCATAAGCTGATTCACTGGGAAGGGGGGGGGTGCACAGGAAACAGTGGTATAGTATTTCCAAAATCAAATACAAATAACAAAGGACTACCTATTAAAAACCTTAGAAACCATCTTAGGGCAGCGGTCCCCAACCTTTATGGCACCAGTGACTAGTTTCTTGGAGGACAATTTTTCCATGGAAGATAGGTAGGGTGGGGGCAGCTGATTTTGGAATCAAACTACTCCATCTCAGATCATCAGGCATTAGTTAGGTTTTCATAAGGAACATGCAACCTAGATCCCTCACATGCGCAGTTCACAACATGTTACTGCTCCTATGAGAATCTAATCTCACAGCTGATCTAACAGGAAGCAGAGCTCCTGGTTCCTAACATGGCCTGAGGGCTGGGGACTCCTGCCTTAGGGGACTTAAGGACTAAGAAGATTAAAAACTGTTCCACATAGCATCATTTCTGTATATCATTCTGATACTCTACTCCATTCTACCCCTAACAATTAACAATCAACAAAAAAGTATCCTATAAAGTGGTTAAGAATCCAGGTTTTGAATCCTGATTCCATACATTGTAGCAAAGGCTCTTGGACAAAGTACTTAACTTCTCTAGCCACTAGTAAAATGGGAATAGTAGGCCGGGTGCGGTGGCTCACGCCTGTAATCCCAGCACTTTGGGAGGCCGAGGTGGGTGGATCACGAGGTCAACAGATCGAGACCATCCTGGTCAACATGGTGAAACCCCGTCTCTACTAAAAACACAAAAAATTAGCTGGGCATGGTGGCGCGTGCCTGTAATCCCAGCTACTCAAGAGGCTGAGGCAGGAGAATTGCCTGAACTCAGGAGGCGGAGGTTGCGGTGAGCCGAGATCGCGCCATTGCACTCCAGCCTGGGTAACAAGAGCGAAACTCCGTCTCAAAAAAAAAATAAATAAATAAAAAATAAAATGGGAACAGTAACAGTACTCAAATCTCAAAAGAACGTATGGATTCAATCCATGCAAGTTTTCAACACAGTGTTTGGCACATGACAAGTGCTCAACAAATGTTAGCAATTACAACTGTGACTGTAATGTTATCTTTACCAACACAATAATGGCGAGGATGATACCATTCAAGAGTACTGCCTTGCCACTGCTCACTTCTAAGTCTTTTACTTTTTATAGACCTTCTCTAGTTTAAAAGATAGAGAGGAAGAATTCCTTGCTGCTGTATTCTTCCTAAGAGCTAGTATAATTATCAATTTTACATGGAAAGTAAAATCTTCACCTATTGTTTTATTCCACATACAAAAGAGTGAGGTTAATCAACAAACAGGAAGATACCCTTGGTCTCAGACACTGAAGAACAACTGCATAAAAGGGAAAGCAAAGGACTATCCCCCTAATTATACTATTTCCTTTCCTACTTTAACTTCAACAGTTTAAAAGAGGTTAAGCTAATAAATTTCAAATATCTACAACACAAACTACTTACAGCTATTTTAAAGCAAATTATTTGAAGCATTTTTTTTCTTAAAGTATTTAAATAATGTGTAGCTCTCATATTGATAGTGTATTCTATAAGTGGCCAAAGGTACATTATACCAAATGTAAAGGTCTAGAGAGTTTCTCCATACAAAAGGTACCTGGCAATAGAAACCAACTATGTCAATAATACTTTGTAGCACTGCCCACAAGAAACGTTAACTGCTGTTATCAAACATTCCTGATGCTGAAGTGCTTATTACTTACAAAGAATATTCTTCAACATCTAATTCATATTCTGTCAAAGATGGATCCTAATCCACCCATATCAATTTAGATACTCAACACTATGACCAAGATACTATAGCATATATTTTCATACAATATTTGTGAAAGGTTATAGATTAAGGCACAGAATATATTTACACATTTACTCATGTTTGTTCAGATTATGAAAATATCAGCAAGAATCAGTTTATGGAGAAATGTTGTAGAAAGACATTAGACACTTCACCAAGAGATCAAGGTTGGCATCACCAGTTACATCATGTGGGTATCATGTTACACCACCACCCCCAAGAATGCAATGAAAGGGGCACTTCAACGCTGTGATTTCTCCCCTAAAATCTGTAACTCCAGTTTAATCATGAAAATACATCCCACATATACAAACTAAGGAACATTTTACAAAATACTTAGCCAGCACTCTTTAAAATAGCCTAGATCATAGGAAACAAGAAAAACACTGAGACAGTCACAGACCAGAGGGGCCGAAGGAGACATGACAACTAAGTGCAATGTGGTATTCTAGGCTGGATCCTAGAAAAGAAAAGGACATTACTGGAAAAACTGGTAAAATCCAGATAAAGTTAACAGTAAGGTGTCAATGTTGGTTTCTTAAACTAGTGTATCATAATAATATAAGAGGAATATTAAGGGAAGAGTGATTGAAGGATACAGGAGAACTCTGTACTATCTTTGCAACGTTTTAGTAAAATCTAAAATTATTCCAAAACAAAAAGTTTATTTTAAAAAAAAGTTTCCAGAGCACACTA